GAAGTTAAAATCAAAAAATTTAAAATTTAGGAAAATCGAACTCATGTAGACTTGACAAAAAATTCAAATCTGTTTTTATAATTCTTATCGCTTCGTTAGATCAATCAATACATTGTAATGAAAACTAGTCGGATTTCTATATTTTACGTATGCTAGACAAAGAAAATCAACGCTTCCTATCGCATTAGAACTGGTTTTTTTTATTATTGTTATTGATTTTTTTTTAATAGCAACTTTTGTGGTATATCCCTTATTACTTTCCAAACTTAAAATGTTTTTTAATAAAAAAATATTTATTTAATATATATATATATATATATTAAGTAAGTAGGTACATCAAAAACTTAAGAAAAGTACCCATTCTGCTTCCGATTGTAAAATAATTATTATATATATTAATATATTGGTTGTCTTAAAAACATTTGAAAATCTAAAAAATAGTTATGAATATAATTGTAGTGTAAAAATGTTATAGTATGTTAAATATTTCAAACTACACGAAAATAACATTTTCAAAACAACTTAAATTGTTAAGGAAAGTTAGTATAGCCATGTTCCGTAGACCGTAAGTGTATTTACACAATATAGATACACCCATATAAATTTATATGTATAAATCGAATATGAGTAAACAACTCCACCGCAGTACTAGCGCGTACCCTATATAATATAATAATAATAATGATGAATAGTGTTCTGTATTTCTATAGCCGGTCAGACTGGTGAACCAAGTTGTTATGCGTTGTTGAAAAAAAATGATTTTTTATTACATGTTTCTTTATTTCTCTCATACTGCAACAGCTTGTATTAAATAGATAACGAGAATGACATAATATTCTGTACATCTGTATACGCTCACGCACATACGTATAACGTGTGTGTGTGTGTGTTTTATATACATATATATTAATCGGGAAGAGAGTATACTAGGCAGTATAGTATAAATATATATGGTAGAAATAAAACGTACCTAAATTCTACCTATACTAAACACCATCGGGTGTTGAGCAACGCGGACGATATCATTACACGCGGTCGTAGCGCGGAATAAATGCGGCCAAGTGATAGTGAAAGTGCCGGCGACTGCCATGTGATCGTATAATATATAATACGATGTAGTGGCATCTCCAACGATCATCATAATAATATATATATATATACATATGTTATAACGTTATTTGTTTTCTAATATTACTATACATAATATAATATACGTACTTACTAATTTATTATACACCACAGACCATTGATCAATTCATTAACCAAAATTGGAGGGTTTGGGGTTTGAGTGATTATTATTTCAAAAAAAATAAAAACAATAAACCTCTGTTGATTTTTATGATATAGTACTATAAGCAATGCGAAAACATTTTCTTTTGTTTTTGTCGTAGGTATTTAAGAACTTTATGTTAGCCCCTCACTACCAAAAAGCATACTCGATTTCTGAATATGACGTTAGCTTAAAAAATTCAAACCCAATAAATTTTCCATAACTCAGCGGCATTCATTAGTCGCTTAAACCACGATGTCTGTAAAGTTTGTGTTTATGCGTAGTCATGCTTAACAGGGAGTTTCAATAACATGTATTCTGTATTTCTGTTTATCAGTGTGTTATTTGTGTTTTGTTTTGCCAAATAAATTATTATTAATGATATATGTAATGTGCATCCCACTCAAAAGAAAAACTTCCAGTATTTAAATATTTTCCACAACAGTGTTAAAATTAAAACTCTACATATATGCTCCTAGAGATTTCACGATTTTATTTTCAGCGCTTTGAGTAAATTGCTCGACAATTATTTGGCTTTTGTTTGATATCTATTAGTCATACCATCATAAATATCGTATTGGTAAAAATTATAAACATAATTAATTTTCAAGCTGTAAATTGTGATGATGTTATAATAACAAAAATAATGAGATACAATATATATATATTGTATTATATATCCGCATAATCGAAAAATCGATATTGTTTATGCAATTATTTTAAAATTTTGAAAGTGCCATTCCACTTAATTTCGTAAGATATTAAAATAAATAAAAAGCCCATGTAATTATTATTTTGTGGAATAAATACATATGAGCCTAATTTCGTATAATTTGGTTAATTTTTTGCTTAATATGTTATTTTTAGTATATACGTAGATATTTACATAATATTATAATGAAGATATGACAACTCTTTTTTTAATTAAATATTATACATTAAAAAATATCATATATTTAGATATCTTATCATATTATACGCTCTATGAACGGTGCAAACACTTAAATATAAGAACTTAGGACATTAATAAAAATATATAATAATATACCAGTTTTTAACTTTTTTTTGCTTATGAAAAACGGGTTTTACAAATCGTCTTTGCCTTAACAATACAAAATTTATCTTCGGCAGATACAAGTATTTAGCATAAGCTAAGAACCTGTTAGTTATGAGTGTTATGACATAAAATAACATATCAAAGAAAATAATGTATATAAAATAGAATTTAAATGTTTACACTATTTGGTATATTTCAAAGTACCTATTGTATTGTTAATTAATAATTGTTTAAAATATTAAAAATGTTGTGACTGAGATCCGGATAAGATTTTTAGAAAATCTAAAATGGTTATCAACAAACTAAAATATGTATACTGTAGTATATTAGAGGATGTAAAAACAACTTGTAAATAGGGAAATGATCTAACGCCAAAGTTAAATAAATAAAAAAGAAATAATTTATTATAAAATTAAGTGAATTAACTATAGTTTATAGTATTTATAAATAAAATTATGAACATAACTAAGTATAAAATAACAAGCTCAAAATCTTTTCATAAATTTGGTGATTTATCAATATGTTCTCAAATTCAAAATAATAGCGCTTGCTTGTCCTAGAGTAAGCGAAGTAAGACGAGTGTGTAACAACCAGGTTATTAACAAATTAATTGTAATCTAGATCAGTATACATATCCTGTCAGCGGTACCTTAAATATTAAGTAACAAGTATAATCCATAGCTAATTAAAATACATGTTGTTTTAAGATTCAGTTGATTTATGAGACATAGAATTTAAATAATTACTATAGAAATCCAATGCGTTTTATCAAGACTACAATAAAAAATCACAAATTTTCTAAAATATGTTAATGTAGCAAAAAGCTAAAATCAAAATTAAGTAAATAGGTTTTACTTAATAAAATATAAGGTTATAACACAATTTTATTAACCAAACATTTTTAAGATATTAATTTACTTATTACGAGTAAGTATTCGACACTTATAACTTACATTTGAAAGATAGTTAGTTAATGAAAATCGATATCGATTTATTCGCCATTACTTAGTAACACATTCAAGGCCTTGATTTAGATTTTTCGTGTTTCCTGAATCTGAAAGTAAGTACAGACGTATACCTAGTATTAAATTATATTGGTTAACCTTATTGTTATTCTTACACAGCTCTTGTTTACCTTCAATTTAAATTTAAATTAGAAATACAAGAAGCATTGTACATATTAAAAATAGGAAAAGGAAAATAAAAGATATTGTCATAAGTATTATCATGTAATAAATTATCATAAGTTATGAAAAATCTTTCTTCAAATTTTTAAACTTAGATATTAAAAGTAAAAAAAAATTGAAATTGTTTAAAAATTTAACTTCGAATATTTATAAAAAAAAACTGAATACATTTTCAAACTTTTTTACTTTGACATAATATTATCAACAACATAATACCGTAAAAAAGTCCAACGTTCTATACGTCTATATTACCTCAAAATATACTGAACATTTTATGATGTCTAAAAAATTTTAATAAACATTTTTTGTAAAAATATCGAATATTGGTTATCTATTCATATTTAATTCATAACAAAAATTCAAAATATCTATACTATTATGACGTTGTAAACTTGTTAGTAAATAATGTTATACAGTGATGATGCTCATCTTTATCTTCAGAAAAATTATCCACTAAATAATTCGTTGTATAAAAGGGTACACTAAACTTTGAATTTTAAATTAAGTATATCAAAATTAAAAAAAAAAATAAATAAATATATTCTAATTAATTTATAGTGAGAAAAGAACGTACTCATTAGAAAATCAGAAGCTTGTATCTCCACAATATACTCTATAAGTACAACAATTTTTAAGAATTTGAAAAAATAGATTTTAAATACTCGTATGTTTAAAAATTCCAAAAATCAATTTTTGAAAATATTGCTGAAATGTTTTTTTTTCAATTATTTGCAATTAATTACTTATTAAAATCAACATAAAATATACAAATTAAACTATTAATATTAATTAAATCAATACAATATAAATAATTAATAGAAGAAATAAATTAAAATCATGTGTGAGCTATTAATAGTTCTGCAGTTCAGTTTTACTATTTTTTAATTTGAAAAAGTAAAAACATTAGCTACAAGTAAGTCTTAACTTATTAAAAATAAACTGTTCCTAAAAACTGTTAATCAATTAATATGATTATTTATCTATAGTTATATTATCTTCTATAATAACTACAATTCTGTGTCATCGCTTGTACCTATATTGCAGTATATTAATAGTTAATACAAAACAAATTATTATATAAATATTTAACAAACTAACATTTTTTTCTGTAATGACAAGGACATTTTTTTTCAATTATCATTAATAATATTAAAATTTTATAGTGTCATCGTGATAATGTATATAGTTAATATTATTATAAATAAATAACTTTTTAATGTTGTGTTTTATAAAGTTTGGTTGATTGATGAAAATAAACTAAATAGATAAATAAAAAATTTGAATACTTGCCAGAGTAAATAATTTTCAAAGTTTAAAATATTTTATTTTAAAAATTTACACAATAAATTAAGAATAAATTAAGTTATCAATAAGATATAAAATAAATATATAATATATTGTGTTCAGTGTTTAAAGATGTTAATCATTGTATATGTATTTTATGATTATATATTTTAAGCTATAAGTATATAATTCTAATTTTCAGATTTATTTTAAAAATGGATCCACTTGACGATGTTGAATATGGTGAACCTCATCATCACCTGCTTAAAAGACCACCTGTAGATATCGAGTTTTCAGACCTGACTTACAGTGTACCACAAGGACGAAATGGTGAAAAATTAAAAAATATACTTACTGACCTTTTTACGATGATTATTTACAAAAATTATAACCTTATCAAAAACTATTGTGTTGTTGCATTACAATATTGTATTAAAACACCTATTTAGGACAATTATACAGTGAGATGATTAATTGACTATAAAAATATAATTTTAAAATTGTGTGCATATAGATGATGTTAAAAATATTTTTGAATTGAAATTAAATTTTGGTCATCCATTAATTGCTTAGCAGTTCTTTTATAGGTAAATTTAAGAAAATTTTATTTAATGATTAATACACATTACTATTTTGATAAAAGTATAACCTATTAAAATAAGTTATAGACGTAAATAATCATTAATAATAGTTATTTAAATATGTGATTAGTGATTACTCATCTGATGAATATTATTGTGAATTTATAATAATTTATTATTAGTGAGATAACCTATCTACAATGACATTTGAGAATAGTTTTTTTTCTGTTAATTACTTAATTATTATTCAATATGGTTGCCGTGTTTTTGGACACTCTTCTATGTTTACTCACCTCAACACAAGATAATAGTATATTACAGTGTTATTTTTTTTTTACATTTAAAAGCATTAGTAAACAACCATTCAAAAATTCGAAATCACTCACAGTCGATTTTGAGTGTCGAGCAGTTTACCATATTTTTTACGTTTACTGTTTTTTGAATACCTAATTGAAACTTTATAATATCCATGAGATTTATGCTGCATCTTTATACATCAGAAATTTCCTTTTAACGGTTAGGTACTTCGATAATAAACTTTATTATTTATATAGGAATAAAAACAGAAAATAATAAAATGTCTTACAAAATGAGTTTGCATTCAATAGAATAAATTTTGTATTTGTATATTATGTACCTTTAATATAGGAGTAAGTTGAGTTATTATTAAACTTAAAGGTTAAAAACATTACCTATGTTTGTACGTCAATTATTTATGATCTTTAAATTTTCAATCAACTTATGACTACTCACAATATAGTAGGTATAGAAATATGGAAATATTGTAAATTAAAAAAACTCACGACTCATTTAAAAACGTAATTATCATAAAAATTTGACGTATAAACGTAGATTGTTTTTACCTTAGAGTTTTATTTTACATTAATTCACAAACAACAGGAAATTGGTTCTGTTGAACTCGAATTTTCTATGTTGTCCATTTGTAAGATGAAGACAATAATACATATCGTCTTTTTAAATAAGCAAATTAACGATAAGTACCTTATAAATTAAACAAAACTAATTTACTAATATAAATTGCAGAGTTCTTTCTCTTTTATATACACAAAGAAAAAGTCCATATGTACGTGTATGTCTTGATATATAGGTATTTATGAAACGGAATCATAATAATTCAAAATATATCTGTTTTTAATCTATGCGTGTTAATTTATAAGTTATAAATTTTTTTTCCCAATGATATTATATCAACAAAATAACTTTTGTAAATTAATATTTATGATATATTAATGATATTACAAAGTTCAAACAAACAAATTCTTACTTAAAGAAATATATTTAAAATATGATTTATTGGGATTTTAATTTTTATTTAATGGTATTGATGAATATTTATCTATTTAAAACTAGCACTTTCTTAATTTTAATTATTTATCAAAAAATGCTAAAAAAAAATGCTGGCATTATCATAATTAATTACTTCATCTCAAAACTAACGAAATAAATTAGTTTTATTTCAATTCTATTTTCAGTAGACTGGGTACCATATATATACCCAGTATAGATCATCTTATATAATAGACATAGATGATTAAAAATAATGACAGTTACAAAAAAAAAAAAACAGTTTTAAGTAAATTAACTTACTCTGCAGATTCCTGGGGCTTTAAAAATTGCGAATGCAGCTGTAGTTGTATTAAAGGACAATGACCTCTTTAACGAAACTAGTTATTCGTTGCTAAATCTTTTATACCGGGTAAACATTATACATATTCCTCATTTATAAAAGAACAATATTATGATTTATTTTAAATGTCAGAGCCATTAAATTATAATAGTATTATCACAATAAATGTATATAGAACTTGCAAATTGAAACAAATTATTCTAAGTAGGTATAATGCAATGTCTCAAAATATTCTATACCTACCTTAATTATTTAAAAATGTAATAGTGTTTTAAAATTAGTTATTATGTATTGAGTTAGTTTTCAACGCTTTTAAGTGACGGCATTCAAATTAAATATTATATTTTTGCATGACACTTATAAAATAAATATTGTTATATATTATTTGTCTCTTGTACAATGTACTAATGCACATGGGATGTATCGTGACAGTATTTTAGCTACTCTAAATAATTATTCAACGACCTTCTATGAGGGGTCGCGATCCCCCAGGTTGTGAATTGTTTGAATTGTTGTACTAAAACTAGGGTAATTATATTTCTAAAAGTTATAGGTAATTCATATTAATATATACTAGTATAATGATTATAGTTAAGAAACCAATTATTAAAATGTTTTAACTAGAGTTTATATTATAGCTATTTGTATGTATTAAAAAATAACATTATTTTTCTAAAAAATGTTATATAATATATTAATATGTATAACTTAATTTTTTAACTATTTCAATTGTACGTAAAATACATATATTAATATTTAAATTTCCATTTCAATTATTCTTTGATATATTTTTTTTATTTTTTTTTTTGGTCATTGCAAAGGTGATATAACGGATACAAAGGTCAGATCTAGCCAATTGATTGAATTAATTATACCGTTTATGATCATCATAAATAATTAATATATACCTATAAATATATATTATTTAATAAAAACTCATTCTATAGAGTAATGTATGGTCTATAAAAGTATTTAAAAAATATAAAGTTTGTGTAGGTTAAATTGATTTAGACTTCTAAGAATAATGTATATAATCTAAGAAAAGCTTAAAATTATTTCTATTTATACAATATATTAAAAGACAGGAAACTTAAGATACATTTTAAGCTGAAGGTCAGTTGTCTTAATGTGGATAGTTACATTATACCAATAATAAAAGATATGAAGGAAAGGTATCTAGGAAAACATTTAAAAAATAATAAGAGTTTAATAATGAATAATAATTGATATGATATAGTTTAATTCCTTAGATAGTTATATAATTCTAAATACCATATTACTATACGTATACATTACGTAATGTTGCTCCACAGTATTTATTTATTTTTTAAAGTAAGACTAAATTAAATAAATATTTATAGTAATAGCTAAGATCGATTAATTCATGTTTAAATATTCAATCGGTATTATTTTATGCATATATTACCTAAATATTCATAAATTATAGCTATTTATAGGTTGAGTTTTAGTTTTAAAAAAAATATAAGGTTTTATAGATTAATGATCAGACATGTGAAGAAATTGTAGTACATATCTAAGGCTTGAAAATATCAACTACTAAAATATATAATTTAAATACTTGAATATCGTGTGTTCTTTATGTCTCAGGATCAAAAATTATTCTTCGAAGTGTAAGCGGTTTGTTTAGATCTGGAGAACTAACAGCGATACTCGGACCATCTGGTGCTGGAAAAAGTACATTGATAAATGTATTAGCTGGCTATAGGTATTAATTTTATTCGTATATATATTTTACCACTATGCCTATTTTCAACACTTTTTCGGATTTATTAGATGTGGTGATGCCCGAGGTTCCATCATGGTAAATAGTCGACCAAGAGAAATGAAATCATTTCGAAAAATGTGTCGTTACATAATGCAAGAAGACCTTTTGCAACCAGCACTTACAGTATTAGAATCGATGGAAATAGCATCTGATTTAAAGCTTGGTTATACAATTTCTAAAGAAAACAAACTTGACTCTGTAAAAATAACGCGACTACGAATGACCAATCAATATATTTTATAACGGTAATAAATGTATTTTTAGATCGAAAATATTCTTCAAATGCTTCGCCTAACTAAATCGAAACACACACTTATGGAGAATTTATCCGGTGGAGAAAGAAAACGATTGTCCATCGCTTTAGAGCTTGTTAACAATCCCCCTGTAATATTTTTGGATGAACCTACAACGTAAGTGTTTTTATTTCTTTATTTACATAACTATTTTCTTATTACATAGTGTTACATCAATCATTCTATTAAAATATTATTATCTCTCAAATCTCGGTTAACCATAAAATAACCATAATTCCATCATAACAATTTAATGTATTATTATAATATAATACAAAGTTCTATAAGACATAACATTTTTCATTTTTATTTCAAGGATTCATTCAACATAAACTTTAATATCTCAAATGCATTCGTTACATATAGTTGCATGTATTTGAAAATAATAATATCATTTTTATTTCTTTTAATACAAAATATAAAAATCAATTAATACGTTTTTGCATATGACAGCATAAATATTAAAATTATTCTTTACATTACTTATTTGCAATCAGTAAATACTTAAATCAATATTCCTTTATACTAATATATTTAAACTAGGTACTACTATTTTTCAGCATAAAAATAATGTATTAAATCTGTAGGTTCAATATTGTCAAATTGAGATTTCAATTAAAATAAATAGATTTAAAAACAGTAAAATGCGTTGATAAAAGTTAATAGGTATGTATAACTAATATATAAAATATTTGAAAAAAAACTATACAAATGTAATATTTTTATTCATTCTACTCGAAAAATAATTTCTTGTGTACTGACGTATTTGATAAATGCTGATAAATGGCTACAAAATAAACATATCTAAAATAGTATTAAATGTATATTATTAAATCATTTTTAATATTTTTGTAAATAGTGGTTTAGACGACTTATCCAGTTCTCAATGTGTGTCACTACTTAAAGATCTTGCTTATGGCGGTAGAACAATTATATGTTCCATACATACACCCAGCGCAAAATTATTTGCTATGTTTGATCATGTATATATAGTGGCCGAAGGACAATGTATGTTTGCTGGAGTTGGCCAGGATATGGTTCCATATCTATCTACTATAGGACTCAATTGCCCTAAACATTACAACCCAGCGGACTTCAGTAAGCGTTGATGAATTATTAGTGATAAATGATAATGCTTAGAAATTAATTTGTTTTAAAATCTAAAAATTTTCGTTTGTAGTGATCGAAGTTTGTAGTAGAGAGTATGGCGATTATTCGGAAAAAATGTCAACGGCCGTAGACAACGGTAAATGTTTGAGATGGTTTAAAGATAATTCTGAAACAAGAAAACCAATTAAACGCCGGGCATCACAATACGATACGGTTTCCAATCATCTGTACGATTTTTCTAGTACAGGATGGTCTCAGTTTAATGTGCTCCTCAGGCGAATGATGATACAGCATAAAAGAGACTACGTAAGAAATTTAAAAAAAAAAAACAAACTGCACAATATAAATCGCTAACAAATGTTATAATTTAATTTCAGACATATTTATTATTCAAACTATTTATGTACACATTCATCGGTCTAGTAGTTGGTGGTATGTTTTTTCAATTTGGAAATGACGCTTCTATGACTATTTTCAATTATGGTTTCATATTTATTACCATAATCGTTTTTATGTATACACCACTTATGCCAGTATTGTTAAAATGTAAGTTTTATTAAAATCCATGGTCATTACACGGAATGTTTTATTTACCACTAGGGTGTATAATTTTAGTTCCTAAAGAAGTTCAGCTATTAAAACGGGAATACTTCAACCGATGGTACGGACTAAACGCTTATTTTTGTGCACTCACATGTTCACAACTCCCAATGCAGGTAAGAGAACCATAACTTTCATAAGTTATAAACTTATAACTTATAATAAACATATAATATAACATTAAAATTGAATTATAATTTTAAAAACATATTTAAACATAATATTATATATTTTATAGATTATCCTATCGTCAATCTACATAGCAATAACTTACTTCTTAACTAATCAACCATTAGAATGGGAAAGAGGAATTAAATTTTCTGTTGTGTGTTTGATGGTGTCCTTGTCATCAGAGAGTATGGCGTACGCAATTTCCTCACAATTCAATGTTACGGTAAGTTCTTCGAAAAGTACATTTTGATACACTTAGTCATTTTTTACTACTTCGACTAAATGACAAATCCTAATTTAAAATATAATATAAATGGAATGAAAATAAAAGTTTGAAAGTTGTAAAAATCACTACACTGAAAAATACATATAGCCTATAGGGGTTTCCTTTTAAGTGTGTCTCGATATTTGGAAAATACTTTTGTTTTGACTATTAGCTGTTTACTGTAATATAGATGTGTTAAATTTCAATTCAATGATAAGTTATTCACGAATAACGATTCTTAGCAAAGGAGGCGGAAGGGCTTAGCATCTATATCTAAAATTAGGTTATATTATTTAATTCGAAATCTAATTAAAAATATTATTTTAAATAATTAATAACTGACCATCAATTTATCAAATTTCTAAAATATCAACATTCTCTATTTTTAATTACTTACTCTACATTAAAGTAACTTGTATATTATAATACATTATTTGTTTCCTCGTAACAAAATGTCATTCGTGCATGAACAGTGTCTGTCGTCTAGATGTACACAATGGTATCGGTAAGACCAGAAATATATAGTTTACTTATAGATGCAATCGTACTAATTTAGTACAAACGAACAATGAGAAATTAAATTAAATTTCTAAAATTCCATATTATACATAACATTCATTATAAAATATTTAATTTTTTAATTTTTTAACAAAAGCCATATTTAATAAATACTATCAATATATATATATATTATATTTATCCGTATATTATACGGATAAATATAATCATAATTTTTTCCTTTTTGTTACGCATTTACGTCAAAATGGAATGCCGATAACGTTAAAAAAAATAAAACAAGTTTCATGCAGCAATTATTACTGCTAACTGCGTCTTCTTACACCGTTGAGCACGTAATACATTTTTAATAACTTATACATTGACATAGCACAGTTTGTATTTTACACACCAGTTTTTAATGAATTTACAATAAAATCAATTGTTTATATTACACCCCTTTTAAGATCACATTACTTGTAGCTTACAATTTTATATAATATGTCACATTCCTTTACAATTTTTCTATAGAATTGTAAATCTCGTTCTGCAATTGTTTTACAAATGGAATGTCGAATACGTTTTATGAAAAACTTCAAGTTTCATGGAGGTACTATAGTTGTTCAAAAATCTTCTCTGTATTTGTGTTTATGAGCTTAACACTGTGACACACATGCAGAATAAATTTTTTTTGCTGATGAAAGGCAGTTTTCGTATGTTATTTTTAATCCAGCCCTGTAATTAGTCACAATTTATAACTTATTATTTCGTAGGCTCTAATATTATATTAATAAATATTTACTAATATTTATTAGAAGTTTGAACGCATCCATTATGATCGCCATTATTATACCATTACTTACTATACAACTATTACTATTATAGTTATTATTATTAAGCGATAGATATTTTACATCGCTACAGCTGCAGGAGAGAGCACACTTCACTTATATCAATTATAACGCTTTATTATATGCGTTTTTTTGATATATTTTCCTATGATAGAAAATTTTAAAAATAGAAAACAGACACTGATTGTTCTTGTACTTAACATACATAGAATAATAATAATAAAAAAATAATACTTTCATATCATACAAGCAAACGTCAAAATTGACACATTTTTCTCAAACCCTGGATCACGAACGCTATAGCACGCACTGTCCGTATGTCAATGCGTCGACTTCAAAACGAGCGAGATTTCTATTACTATATGTATATACATCGACAGACGATAAATAATTTGCTCACAAAAACAAAATGATAACGCGCGCAAGGCGAGTAGAACTAAATCGCGTTTCTGCCGTCCGTCTTCTTTAAAACTTCCAAAAATGTTTCTACTCAATGTACACCCGTCGGACACCCGGATTACACTGGTCCGTTGAAATGAACGCATCATTTTTGACATTTACTCGTTTTAAATTAATTTTTTGTTTTTGTAATGATATACGTATGTAAATCCATGTATTGTCATTTCGATGTTTCAATCCACGGCTTAACACAATAATATGCGTTTATAATTATCATGACGTATTGTCGATCGGACGTTTCGTATTGGACTTACACAATTAATGTTTTGTACAAGGGCTGGGGAGGTTCAATGTGGGAACCTAATTTAATGTAATGTCGTACACACTCATGAACTGTAGCCAATAAGCGCAAAATGTGACCCATATACAACCCAAAAGCACAAAAATAAATATTCCATAAGCTCAAAAAAATTTTACAAAAATAAAGTTTATTTTATAAGTTAGATATAAGTTTATACTGTGTATATCGAATAATTATTTTAATTGATTATCAATCTTCATCGTAATTTTTTACGATAAAATACGATACGATAATACTAAACTTCAACTTCTTCAACTGAATTCGATCACTGTTGACGTATTTTTAAATTATAAAAATACTGTGTATATTTAATTAAAATGAATAATTTAATTTTATGATTAATAATTTTAAAACGAAAATCGTAGTGTTACGAGTACAATATTTATTTTTTCGCTTTTATACTCACTACTAAGGTACAAAAGAGCAAAATGAATTTGCGCTTTCGATCTATCGACAAAAATCGAAAATTTGCGCTTTTGGGTTTCACCGCACCCGCGGGTAGGCGCATACCCGTGGTGTGTGTGTGTGTGTGTGTGTGTTGTCTGCGTGAACCCCGCGGATCGGACTCGAATAAATAAAATGCTCACGCGTCGGGTACGCTTTATCGGTTGCTTTTACAGAATAGCGTGTTCTTCGGACCGTGCGTGGCGTGTCCGATGATGCTGCTGGCGTCGTTCGGGCTGGGCTACGAAGAGGACGAGATACCTCGCATCATCCGGTTGGGCATGAACTTCAGTTACCTGCGACACGGCGTCGAGGCACTGGTCATGGCGGTGTACGGCAACGGCCGCGGCCGGCTGGAGTGTCCGAAGAGCGAGGACTACTGCGACCTTCGCGACCCGTCGGCACTGTTCAAGACCGTCGGCATGTCCGAAGTGACGTACTGGGGATCGATGAGCGCCCTGTGTGGCATGTTCGTCGCGTTCAAGGTGGCGTCGTACATAATGCTCCGGCGGAGACTCAGCACCAAGCCGTCGCTGCTGCTCAAGCTCGGTTTCGTCGGCCGCTTCATCAAGGCCAACTTTAACATTCCTCGCTAACCGCCGCCGCCGTCTCTCTTTCCCCACGTCTCAATCTCTATTTGAACATAATATATTATAATGTGTGTACATAATACAATACCAAACAGCATTTGTGATATAAACTTATACTTTACGATAACTTTATATGTATATTTATATTATTTACAATGATATGTTATACTATACTGTAAAATAATAATAAAATCTGTTTTTTTTTTTACATCTCATGCTGTCCTAATGTGTGTAGTGTATGTGCTGCACTGCACAGAGTATATTTTAAGAATTTTTTACTAGGTGGCACTATCATTATAAATCACGAGGACTGGCTCGAATACTAACCTCGGGTATCGTGGGCGTAGCTAGGATTTTAATCAAGGGGGGGAGTAGTTGATGACCTTTTTTTTTGCTCTTTCCATTTTATAGTAAAACTTACACCCCACCCATGCTACGCCCATGTAGAGTATCTTTTATGTTTTCTACTTGTGACACGGAGTACGAAGCACATTCATTAACCACTAGCTGGCACTCATGCCATTTACTTTACATGTTAAAATATGCTCTGGCATTGCATATATGTGTATACGGTTTGCCGACTGCAATAATAAGTATTTCATTAAATCACGTGTAGGTATATAAGATAAAAAAGGAAACGGGAATAATCGATTTATGCGTGTATATTGTGCAGTCATTTAATATTATTTAAAGAAATAATTCTATTTTATTTTTTTTTAAATTATACATAGAAGTATTTTTTTTAAAGATTTAAAACCATGCGACTTACTAATGATCGTAATGCGTGTGTCATGCATAATATATAACTGCCTATACCTATATATCCATCTCATACGTCATCATCTTTGGGGATTTAATCTATGAGCACTACAGATTTCCATGGTGCCTATACTGTCTGCAACACACGGAGACAGGTTATATAGGTGCTCTCCACACGCGCGTCTGACGTCTAACGGTTTTTGTCGTAGTGCGGTAACAATATGATAATTAATGATAATAATACTTAGATGCTCGTTCGACTCGTTCGAAAACATAATATAACTCTTCAAGGTCGTACCCAGAAAAAATTTCGAGGGGGAGTATACAAATCTTAGTTGGTAAGTGGTGTATGAAACAACGAACAATTTATAAATGCTTTGAAGCAATTAAACATAAATATATGTATATATATATATATTAAACACCCGTAAATATAAATTAATAAAGTTTATTAATAATTTTTTAAATACGCATAATACATAATATAAAATAGAATTCGATTTTATAGCACAAATTTTAAAATTATATTCTTTTCTTTAGAAAAACGATTGATTACTACCATAGGATCGATACGAATATTTCTATGTAGTATGTATACTAAGTAATATTAAACCGGTTAGTCCATCTTCAGCAGTAGTATTTCACAAATAGTTTTTAATTTTTTTTAGAGAAGAAAATGTCTATTTGGATGATATGTTTGACACCGGGGTAAAGCATGATCAAAACTTTTAACAAAAATGAAATGTTAAGAAAAGAGTTTTGGCTAAAGTTAAAATAATATTTTTCATGTACTTCGCTCTACACCGCAATTTGATTGTTTGAGCTTTATAGCTTTACTGCTATATTATTTTTATTACTATATTAATAATAAAAAAACGGATGTTAAATTTCTAAATTTACGCAATATCAGAAAATTTCAGGGGAGTTCGAACCCCAAACCCCCTTCCTAGGTACGACCTTGCAACTCTTCTGCTTTATGGTATTAGTAATATATATAAGTACGTATAGTAAAACCTTAACGTGCGTGAATAATAAATGTGTATACTTTGTAACATAAATACGCTTATTCATGGTTTGAAACTGTTATCGAATGATTCTGCAATCGCCTTAGTCTCTAAAACGATATTTTACCATTCGTTTAGTAGGTACTTACCTATGTTAACGATGGAAACGTGCTAATATTTGCATCTGTAAACCCGTTTAAGTGTTTTCCAGTTTCTTACTATAAACAAATTACAATAGAGTACGTCAATCATTATGGTCGACTAAAATTAATCAAAAGATTATTTTACAACAATTTTAATACACACGAAATAGCGAAAACAAAGAAATCTTATTGATTGGTCATTTAATTCGTTATTAGTTATTACTGTATACAATTGTTTAATTTTATTCCTATATTAAAAAAAAAAAAAAAAAAAATTAAATTATTATGAACTTCTAAACATCAATAAAATACCTACTAATATAGGTACCGTACTTCTAGCAAATGCCTACGACAGATAAAAATAAATCATCAAGCCGTTTGAATTAAGTATACTTATTAATTTAAAAAATAAACTTGAATACATTTAATGAATCGCCAACTAGTTAGACAAAAATTAAAAAAGATTTAAACGCCTAAATGAAAATATTTAAATTTCTAAAATCATCTTTTTTGAATTAGACATCTCAGTGTTGATAGATAATTTTATAAAAAATAATAAAAATATATATAGGTTCTTCAACCCAAACATTCTGAAATATATTACATCACATTAAAGTAGACCTATAGCCCGACTAAAATAGTTACAATTGAACTTTTAAATTACATTTTATGAAGTGATATATAAATGTATAATGCGTATATCTGTTAAAATACTTAATAGTTATTGATTATTCAAAATCGCTTAATGATTGATGTTAATATAATTCTGGTTTTTAAATAAATCCCAAATATATGTACGATAATATGTACATGTATTATAAAAATGATCAGCAGGCACCGGTAGATACATTATTCATAATATGCAAATAATAAATACCTAGCTGTTCAATATTTATATTCAATTATACGTGTAGCTTTGGTATAACGAACTGAATTGACGAAGTGTGTTGAACATCATAATACATACTATTTAGGACTTAGGCATATACATCAATTGCAATTACATCACTTGAACTGTCAGTGTAATCACCTCAACTGCAGTTTGTTTAACGATCATATATCATAACACCACCACTCTCGAGTAGGTATAGACGTTTCTAAGCAACTGAGACACTTATGTACATAACATAAGTACGGGCAACAGGCACAAAGACCTAATGTTTTTTTAGGATATAGAAATGTTAGAATGTTATTTCACACTCTGTTGAACCACATATATGAGTTACTAAATAGTTTTTAAAATATTGGCGAAAAAGAAATATATTTATTTTTTTTTTTTAATTATCTATTTACTATAAATATTGTAAATCACCAAAAATAAAAATTGGAGAACTGATGGGTCGCTATGCTAAGTGTCACTATCGAGTTAATCTCGTGATTGAGTAGGTACCAACTGATATCACAGAAACAATAATGAGTTAAATTTGAATTAGATGATAAATCATTGTATACGAATATGATCATAAAGAATTCTGAGCGAAGGCAATCAATCAACCTTTAACTATTCTAAGGATATCTTATGATTTATTTTTATTGCAATAAGTAATTTATTTTTCTATTAGTGAAAATAGGTTGCTTGAACTAATAACCTTTAAATGGCCAACGTACTTTAGAACGGTGTAAATAAATTCATTCTATAAATAGCTTGAAATTAATGTAAATCTAAACATTTTGAAAATTCCTAATAGCCCAACATTTTTATGCGTACCTATGTTAAAAATGTCATTGTGTATTTAAAATGTGCAAAGACAATAATAGATAATTTTAATTAATAGAAAAATGTTTTAAGCTACAGCGATTGATATTTTTAAATAATAATAAAGAATCTAACAAAAATTATTTTGTTCGTATTTCGTGTAAATATCCAATTTCGTCAAAATTTCAAACTAGACGCTCAAACTGTTTTTATTATTTTTGAAAACAAAACTTATGAAAAACGTTGTATTATACTTTTTAAACCTATTGTGTATGGATATTAAATATTTTTTGAATTTCCTAATCACTAAAATGTTTGTGCATTTTTGCAAATTTGACGATTTAAGTCAAAATTCTAACTTCAGATGGTTATAAAAAATTAATGTGGATTTAAACTCATATTTTTAATTTCCAGTAATAACATCTTACGATGAACCTTATATAAAATTGTAAAGTTCCCAAACTGAATACAAAAATTTTTATCGATGTATAAAGAAAAATACTAAACAAATTAAATATTAAATTTCAAATGTCTATAAATAGCTCAAAATGGTCAAAATATTTTATCAGAACATGTATATAAAATGTTCAAACATAAACATTTGGTAAAAATAGCAAGTACCTACAACTTAACGTTTTTTTAAGTACAACAGAGTTTTGAAACTTATGATTGAATGACAGACAAAAAATAAAAAAAAAATACATCATTATAGGTGTGGCTACCAAGTTACCTAACTAATACATTCATCTCTCCACTTAGAATCTAATAATAGTCACAAGTTCAAATATCTGTAGATATCACAGAATTAACTTGCACCTACATTTGATATGACACTAATTATATCTTTAATGATATAACATATAAATATACAATATGATTTAAATAAATGATATAATGTATCTAGTGAAAAAAATAATAACTAATTAATAGTTATTTATAAATGAAATGATTTATATTATCGTGAAGCAAAAATGAAAATAAATATTTTGTTCAATCGACACATAAATGAAAACATAAGTATATCTTCTACGCAGTGCAATCCATGCATTATTGCCTACCATTAATCATGTATAATAATATTCTATGATAAGTGCTATAACATTTTATAACTTTTAAATTATTATAGGAACTATACCTATACGTTTTGTCATTACTGCGGCACGGCACACACTGAAATTACCCATTAATATACACCATTACACTATATAATTATTCGGCAACCTGTCTCTCTTCAGCTATACTTTATTGTGTATATTTTGTTGTATGTATTATTTTAACATTTTTTCCATTCATTTTAGGTCACACATCAATATATATTGTTCAGAGAAAATGAAAGTTGGCATATATAAACGATTTTCTCTCGTTTTATAATAACACAGTCTTCCGAAACATATACTTACCTACCTATTTAACCAAGTATAATATACCTTTCGATTATCCTTCTCTTTACATACAACCGTTATAGACAATAATGTAATAGTAATTGCAGTTGATACGTTTTTAGTAGATTGCACTGTATACATGTGCTATAGCAGGCTTATATAGGTTACCTACCAATAATAATTATTTATTTAGTACCTAGCTCGATATTTCAACTTAAACACGATAACTAATATCAAAAAAGCCATTCGTACCAAAACATTAAGATTATAATACATATGTATCATTTATATGTGTAATGATATGCTCACATATCATTGTTTATTACATATACATAAAATTCAATTAAATAAATTAACGGTCAAGTTGTCGCACGCAGATTAACAAAGATCACAAAGGAATTGACATATGAGTTGTGACTTGTGACAATATCTCGAAAAGCGTGTGAACCAATTTCGTTAGCCAGCGGAAGCGGGCCATGGTACAATGAAGCTCTCTGTCGTATAGAAGAAAGACTATTTCTCCGAAAAAACACTGAGTCCTTTTTATGATGGCATGGCCTGCGACTCTGGCTGGATCGACCAGGTCGTCTTCTCCCCGCAGTGCACGAGCATCAGCCAAGCGAGCAGGAGCTTTATCCCAAAACCACTATACGACATACACACAAGACTCTGCGAGCGACAATTGGACTTCTTTCTTTTTCTAATTTAAATCAGTGTTGTTTTTCTTATTTAAACATAAGTTTTCCTTAAATCGTATCGTAACTTGTGTCACCTTGTACCTTTCTCCGAGGAATGTACTACAAATATTCACTGCAGCGAATTAGGTAAGGTGCATGTTTGATATACTAATTGTTAGTACGGTTTCTATTATTATCTAATTCGTGTAACGGTGTATTTGATCACATTCTTGAACCCTCCAAAGAACGGGAGGAAGGTAATAACACGAGAACAAGTATACTCAATATTTATTAATATCGGATTTACATACAAGGCTTGTGTCCCTTGTGTCAGTCCGGCCACATCATACTTATACCTTTCATCGTACTTTTTAATATTTTTATATTTACACGTAAGTTTCACCTTTTTTGTGTTATTACATATGATATATTGATATTCAATAATCAGTAGTACCTACTTATTATGCGTCCTTTCTAGATATCTAACCTTGATGAGATAGTCAAGCATATACCTAAAATTATAATTTTATGCTATTTATGTCCAAATTACATGCTATAACATAGAAGGGTTTGTTCGAATTGCATGTCATCTCACAGATGGATCTGTTAAAATAGCAGATCGTGTTTATAGTTTTATTTTATATTCAATTTATGTAGATAAGATTTCTCTATTTTGAAAGTAGTATAACAATTTCACCATAAGTGTTCTTGCAATAGTTAAAAAATATCAAAAATCAATAGTTACCACTTCTTTTATAGATATTTAAGTTTTAAAGTTTGAGGAAATTCGTCAAAAATTCAAATTTTTCTAATTATTTTGTAGTTTATCTTACATACAATTTATATATACAAGGTTCTTAAAAAGTCTTTATTAAAAGTACTAATTATATACCCCTACTTCATACGGGAAAAAATTAAAAGCCTAAAATACGGTACCATATCAGTATATCTTGGTTTATTGGCAAAAATCGACATCGATGTACCTCGCTTTGTGTGCTAATTTAACTAAGATTGATAATCCACCTGTAGTAGATTGCATAAAACGCTTAGAATATTTTTGGACATGGCTCAAACTGATTACTACATTTTCCTGATAAATCTATAACAATCTTTGAATTTTTTGTCAAAATTAGTCAAATTTAATTTTTAAGCCTATACGCTACTACTATTTTTATCTTACCATAAAGTACAATGCGTTTAGTTTCATGAGACGTTTTTCCACCCATCGAGTTTTCATTCAATTAAACTATAGATTTGGCTCTATCGAGCATATCTTGCCCTTCCAAAAAGAGCGAGAGAGGTGATAATCCGTTCCCACCATTATCTACCTCACTCGCAATTAAGAATAATTATTAATTACTTTTCAGTCTTCATCATCGAGGAATAATAACAACGGCTTGGTACTATATGATCATACAGAAAACAAGAAAATATTATCAAAAACACAAATAATAGTCTCGACCTTTCTAAGAGCAAAAATAGTATCTTTCCAGTCAAAAATAATATTTCAAAAATCTTAAAAATTCTGATTAAATCTATTGTTTTAATGAATAACAATGACATGATTACTAAACACTAATAGTAATATGTCTTCAAGCAAATCAATGATACAAGTAAAGAGATGGTCAAACTTCTGAAAATTTTCAGAGTATGTAACTAAACACGCTGGTACACTTTTCTATTAACTATTTAGATAGCCTTATAATTTTTTTCCTCTAAAACAGCAATTCTTAACCTGTAGCCTGCGGCCCCCTACATTATAAATGTCAATTTTTTTTTTTTGAACAATGTCATTATTATGTGAAAGTTTTAGTTTTTTTTTTTTATAGTTCTAATAGATTTCAAGGTAGTCTAAGATCTGGTATTTTTTATGTGTAATGATCTTCGTGTCAACCAAACAATACATTTTATCTTAACAAACTACAGAGAATAATTTTTATAACCCAAACCTCCTATCCTTGGGTACACCAGTGGTTTAAACAAAATATGTTTTTAAATGTAACTTTAGTAACTATTCGTAGTTTACAATAACCAAAACATAAAAATAATCTAGCTACAAAAAATAAATTGTTACGAGTGATCCAATAAATTAATAGAAAACTATATTTTATTATCAAAGTTATAAAAATAATATAAAATATGTCTTAACTCAAAATAAGTTTTTAGTTCAAAACATTTATAGTACAATATTAAAATGTATACATAGTATACCTATGATAGGATGGTTCATAATGTGAAAATAATTCTTAGGTAGTATTTTGATGGAATATTATCCTACTACATAAGAAATATAAAGATATACCATGGAACACTGTGTGCATATACAATACATATATACAAAAACTTACTTCTATTTACATTAATATACTCCAAAAGGAAAAATATTTATAAATTAAAAAATAGATCAAGTACGATGCACTTTTAAAATGGAAAATCAAATAGACAAAGTTCTATGTCTAGGAGCTTTTTTACTAAGGTCATTAAAACCTTTACTATCAACACTGTCTATCTCTTTATTCTTCAGCATTGCTATTAAATTACTTTCTTTTACATGGTTGATTTTAAATTTATCATTGAATGAGAAATGAGAATTTTCAGTTGGACTTGGATGAAATAAATTAATATTAAAATTAACTTTTGGTAATTCAGAAATTTGAGGAATCCCGTGTTGTGCTGATGTCGTTGGATGAAAACTGTTGTTAATTTTATCATTTGTTTTACAGTAGTCATTGCCAGTTGGTCCTGGACCAATTGTTGAACCGCCATATCCAAATATATATTTCATGCTTAAACTTCGACCAACTAACAATGCACATGATAAAAATATTGTTTTAATGGTTATAATAATAATGATAGGAATCAAAATTATTTGAGCCCAATATGGTGTATCCTCTAAAAAATAATATTAATAATTTAATTAACATAATATAGAAATAATTAACACATTGACTGCCATACAGCAGCCGGCTGTCGCATCCCTATGTTTCCTATAAGGCCACATTCATTCTCAATGTCATTTCATAAATGTACATTGACATATTTATAAAACAAATGATTGAAAAAATAATTTTGATATTATTATCTTTGTTATGTCGTTCTACATAAGAATATGACATTTAAAATGTATGGCATTATCATTGTATTGTTATATGACTGCTGGCAGTGGTACATAATAACATTTTGTATGATGTTTTAATTGTAATTTTACAAATAAATGTGACTATGATAGCCTGCAGTCATATGATGTATAAATAATATCAAAGTTTGACCATCGGCGTCCATAAAAATACTGTTCTATGCTAATGCTCTGTAGACACTGGCAACCATATGGTAGTCAACGAGTTAAAATCATAAAAACTATGTGAAGATTCCAGGTTTTGTGGAAACAACACGAGATGTACAGATAATATATTTTCAGTATAATTGTTCTTACTTAAAACTGATTTATTGAACACATATATAGAATCTCCTAAAGCTTCTAATGGCTTGGTCATCATTTTACTGAACATTTCAGCTAATATGTCAGTTACAGCAATAGAATATTTAGGATTCAAATAAATTGCTTCTTTATACTTTTTGCACTCATCTAGAAAAATTGATAAAAAAAAAAAAACAATTCAATAATAAAGTATTAAAAATGAAAATTATTACCTAAATTGTTAGTTCGAAACCAAGAAAAAGTAGACCAGCCTGTGTTTGCACGGCAATGAGAAGGCATGTATTCCAAATGAACACTACGATTTATTTCAGCTTTCTATAATAACATAAAATTGTTAAACACTCTAAATATAATAATTATCTAAAGTTCTTACAAGCATTTTTGGTATTATAATAATATAATTAATAATTATTTACAAAAATTTAAAATTGCATTCAGATATGTAAATTAATTTAACACAGTAAAATTCTTCATTTAAGAAGTTTAATATATTCATAAATTTTAATTGTAGTTATTGTTTTTTGTAATTGAATCATGAACAATCAAATATATATAAAATAAATAAAAATATGGTTTTCTTACCGTGTACATGGTATACCAGGTTGAAGCAAAAGCAAGTGCAAAAATAATAAATAAAATAAATGTTAAATTGAAAACATAATGAATTTTTTTAAAAGTAGTATACAATAAAGCAATTGAAATAAAACAAACTGAAATCCAATACAGCACTTCCTTAATCTGAAACAATGATTACACAATGATTTTAAGTTAAATATCACCTAACATTCTTCAACTATTTAAAATAGTTATTATTAAATGGCTTTCAATATAAACTACTCTAAAAAGATACAAATACAAGCAACCAATATAACAGGCTACATCATTTTTTAGATATATATTATAATTTAAAAAGATAAATGCATAAATAATTAGGATATCTAATAAGTAAAAAGAAAAATTTAATTAAAAGTTACAAGAATAACAAGACTCCCTTTAGCTTAAGATTTAAAGAATCTAGTAGTTTTCCAATAATAAAATACCTATAATTAAACCATTTTTTTTAAACAGTGATCTACCTAATAATTATAAATATATTTTCTACACTTATTAAAAGATACTTATGACATTAAATTGTATTCTCAATAATTACTTAGTATTAAATTTATTACCCAATAAGGCAGGGGTCGGCAACCCATGGCCCGCAAAGCAATTTTTGATGGCCCGCTCAAAGGTGGTTAATTTTTATGTTTTACTTTTGTTCAATAACATTTTTCATATAATTTTCAATATTATATAATTCTTTTTCCTTTATAAATAAAATCTAATCTAACCGTTTCATAATAGCAATACAATTATAAGTATTATATCATAATATGAAATTTTTTTTTTTTTTTAATGTGGCCCTTGATGACCAATTGAAAAAAAAAATGGCCCGTGTGGTTAAAAAGGTTGCCGACCCCTGCAATAAGGTATCTACAAAATATTTATATTATAAGTAACAAATTATTAATTAAATGCATAAAACTAATAATTAGATACCTGATCGTATATTTCTGAGCTGTTTATTACTTTAAATTCAGAGGAATCCATTTCTACTGGAGTAAATAAGCTATTCAAAATTCGATCAACTTCTGTATAATCTATATCCCTTTTACTGGCCATATTTTTTAATAACTGTAAATCTTGAGTACTGAGAGTTACTGAAGCATATAACTTCAGCTCTTCATTTTTTCCTTTATTTAACACTTGATCAATATTCTAAATATGAAAGATTAAATAGAATAAAACATTGTTCAAACATGTTTTTAAAATATATACCTAAACAGATAAATTTTAAATACACACACTTACAGATAGTCCAGTGTTTATTAACAGTATGTTGATAAATCTTGAAAGGAAAATTGTACAACGGTCATTTTGAATAGGCTCATTAACTACTATTTTTGGCTTAATTTTCATTGATTTTGTTGATCTATCATAGTTGACCATGTCCAACGGATCGACATATTCATCATCTGAACATTTTATAGTATACTCACTAGATAAACACAAAACCAAAACTGAGACAAAAATTAGTCTCATTGTAATTTGTAATATCATAAAACACTAATAATAACGATAGTTTTATATATATATTTATTTGATATAAAACAATATTTTTATAATTAAAGAATAGCACAATCCACAACTACTTATATTATTCTGCATAGTCTAATAACTATTAACTAGTAACAAATTCATTGTATTTTCTAGTAACTGTCAAGCGCCAACTATTTACTGAAATAGTTGAAATACTTTACGTAACAAACTTACGACTTTCCATATAATCACAATTTAAGAAAATATTATCATACCTATGATAACGTGACTAAAAAAAATGATAAAATTCCCGCTATTATTTAAATAACAATCTAACAATCATAAAAAATAAAATAATAATAAAGGTTGTAATTTGATTTGGATATTGAAAATTGAAATATTGTATATAGTTATTTATTTCTCAGTAGTATTTATAGATGTAAATTATTAATTTATTATCATTTAATAAAAGTTAATACTAAAATCAAATAATTATTATTTGATTGTAATTTAAATACTAATAGGACGTCATACCACTATACCAGTATATGCGGTCTCCGCTTTACTTATAAGTTATAACGCATACCAAACCAAAATATATGTTTATTAGTTTAAATTTTGTATGTTTACCTTTAATATTAGAGTGAAATAATCTTTTATCAAACTTCAAGTTAAGAACGTTATCGACTACGTTCTTTCGTCGTTTTTTTCGGTATTTTGATTTTTAAGCAAGTTATGAGTTAACAAAATATTAATACTTATAAATTCTCATAATTCGCTTGAAAATTTAAATACCGTAAAAAACAAACGAGAGAACATAAATGTTTATACCATTACATTTTGATATTAGGTAATTTCTCTCTAATATTTAGGCAAACACACAAAATTGAAACGGCTAAACATATATTTTGGTATAGTATGCGCAACATTATAACTTTTATCGCTATTTCAAGATCTAAAATTAAAAAAACAATGTACAATTGCATACAGTGCCGAATTAGCCTACACGCAAATTAGCACTGCTAAAGTCACCCAAGAAAATTCGGCCAAAAGAACGAAAGGTATTTTTATTTTTATGTATTGAGAAAATACAAAATTAAATTTTTTAGTATAGTATAGATATTATAGTACCTATAATTTAAAAATGTAATAGACAAATGAAATGTTTTTAATTTTACAGGATTGTGTATTAAATATTACCTATTTATATTTTATATTTATAAATAAGAAGTCATGAAACACGAATTTTTTTAAAATTTATAATTCACAAGCACTGTTGAAATAGAGGACAGATGAATACCTAATTATTTTACAACACTTTATGATTAATTAGGCCTGACTTATTTGCTTAGGTACAATACTTAAAAGTACCATCTACATAATGTCTTAATAAGTGTACTTATAATGTATTTAATAATGTTTTTTCACATGAAAACATTACTGTCATTTACCGTGAGAAGTTGTTCGTCGTCATAAGTTATGATTTCTAAGAATCCATTACTTTGTGTACCTACATTTTAAATATTACGTGGTTTTGATCGTCTTGCCAAATATACGTATACTTTTCTGAAAAAAATTCAGAGGACGCACTCAAGTTATTCAATACGATTTTTTGATATGACTGCAGACGCAAAAGGGCTACGAAAAAGGTAAAAATTAAAAACGAGTTACACTCAGACTATTACTGTCACGGGCGCGATACGATTGCGCGCGGTCCTTATCGGCGGTACCTTTTTATTTATAATTATTTAAAATATAAAAATATCTATATATTAACATCATTTTTATGATGTCGCAAACCTGCTTATATGGCTTAAATTTTATTGTTTTATATATTATACTGTGACATATTAACATACAAATTATGTTAATATATAGATATTCTTATATTTTAAAAAATGTTCCACATTTTATTTTACAACATTTTATACAACTTATATCTTTAATCGTTTTTTAAATTATATAATTATTAATTATACAATAAGTTGTATACCAATTATTTTGTATTTTTTTAGATACATAACATAAAATTTTAATTTTGTCGAAAAGTGAATCAGCCGAAAGGGAAAGGTACGTTTTTTATTGAAAACGGTCTCGCCCGTATTAAACATTATTATAGAGTATCGTTTTATATTAATTACCAACACATTAGTTAAGTACGTAAATATTTAAAAAAATATTTACTTCTTTAATTTAAAATATTCATTTTTTTTTTTTAACATTTTATTTAGAAAATATACAATCTGTAAGGTTATTTACAATAGGCATAAAGGCGGTGTTCATGTGATTTCGACGTGAGTGTCGTGAGTTTACATGATTTTAAGGAACTACCCAACAGTAGTACTTATGGCTTGAGGGGATTTTGTGTGGGTAACGAGAGTTTATTTTTTAATTATGTTAATGCTAGGTCTCTGCACCAGTTTCTTTTCAATCTTCTTGGCGGGTCACCAGGTATGTTGATAGAGTCGAGGGCAAGGATCAGAGGGTTTGAGTGGTTTGCTAGACGGGAGCGGAATAATGTGTAAGATGATTTTGCTACCTCTGGAATTTTTTGGATGTTTAAATCAGTGTGAAGTGTATGGTTTGAAATGTAAAAAGATGCTTTTGTAATCATTCGTAATGTTATGGATTGAAAACGTTGTATTTTATTAATATTTGACTTCTTAGCAGAACCCCATAGTTGTATACCATACGCCCACATCGGTTTTAGCAGAGTTTTGTATAATAGGAGTTTGTTTTTAAGGCTAATTGTGGAGTTTTTACCGAGGAGCATATGGAGGGATTTTCATCTGATGTTTAATTGGATTCGTTTTTTTTTTAAGTGTTCGGCCCAGGTTAAACGTTTATCAAGTATTAGACCTAGGTAATGTACGTTAGATGTTTGAGGAATGATTTTATTGTTTAGAGTTACTGGGGAATTGTATTTTGTTTGAGACTAAAATATGTAATGTGCGAGGACTTTTCATTATTAATTTTTATTCTCCAATTGGAATACCAAGGTTCCATCAAATTAAGGTGGGTTTGTAGATGTTGGGAGGCAGTTTTTGGGCTGTCGTGCGAGGTGAAGATAATTTTGTCGTCTGCAAATTCAGCAACATTGGTCTGGGGGGTGGTAGGTTGGTCGGCTGTGTATATATTGTATAGAATAGGAGACGAAATAGCTCCTTGGGGGACACCAGCTAGGATAGGAGATAAGTTTGAGAAGACTGATCCTACCTGTGTAACGAAATTTCGATTTTCTAAGTACGACTTAAAAAATAAGAAATAAGGAGAAGGGAGAATCGCTTTTAGTTTAAATAAAAGGCCAGGGTGCCATACCTTATCAAACGCCTGGGCAACGTCTAATAATACGGCGGAGCAGAATAGTTTTTTTTTTCTAATGCATAAGAAATAGAGTCTGTTATACGGTGTATTTGGTGTAAAGTTGAATGTTTGTTTCGGAAGCCGAATTGCGTGTTGGGAATTATTTTTTTGTCATTTATGATTTTTGAAATACGTTTAAGTATTAATTTTTCAGTTAATTTTGCAAAGAAAGTCAAAAGGCTAATTGGACGGTAGGATGATGCAATGTCTGGAGGCTTGCCTGGTTTTGGAATTAAGATTATTACTGATACTTTCCATTGAAGAGGAAAGTAGGAAAGTCTTAATATGGAGTTAAATATGTGAGTTAAATGGATCAACGCTTTTTTTGAAAGTTCTCGAGCTAGTTCTACTGTAATTAAATCTATGCCAGGTGCTTTTTTAAGTGGGAAAGATTTTATTAAGTGTTGGATTTCACTTGGAGAAAAAGGTTGGAGCAAGATATAATGGTAAGGGAGAAGAAGAATTCTCTATATTTTGTGTGTGTGTATAATTTTCTAAATCAGAGTGAGGTTGGAAGACTTCTGCGAGATGAGCACGAAAAGTTTCTGCTTTTTCATTATCCGATTTACGCCAAGTTCCATTTGTAGTTTTCAAAGGGGTTTGCGTTATTTGTTGCTTGAGACAATTTCGAGTGGCCTTCCATAGCGATCCGTCTTTTAAGGTGAGTGATAAGATCCAATTGCTATATGAGTCATTTCTTATTTGAGATAATTTTCGTTTAAGAGTTTGTGTAAGTTTGTTGTAATAATTTTTATCCGAGGGAAGTCTGGTGCGTTGCCAGCGGGATCTAGCACGGCGTTTGTGTGCTATGAGCTCACGGATGTGAGTGGGTATCAAGAGTAAGTTGGAACTGTGTTTTTGAGTTTTGGTCGACGCATTCCATGCTGCAGATTGGATGTTTTCAGTGAAGTGTGACACCGCATCTTCGATGTCGTCTGGTGATTTTAAACGAGTGTTTAGGTTTATTTTTTGGTCGATGGTTTTACGAAATTTGTCCCAGTTCATTAGGCCGTTTATTAGAGTGGGTTTAGTATTTTGGTATGAAGGTAGTGTATCGATAGATAGGAGAACTGGAGAGTGGTCAGAACATGGGTTTAGTAAATTTTGGATTTGATGATTGATGTTGTTTGGGATTTTTATTACAAATATATCTAAGATGTCTGGACGTTTTCTAGGGGATGTTGGCCAGTAGGTTGGGTTGGAAGATATTATTGAAGAGTAGTGGTTCGAGTTAATGATTTGGAGTAAGGCGTGTCCTTTAGGGTTTGTGGAATGGCAGCCCCAAATTTGATTTTTTGCATTTAAGTCACCTCCTACGATAAAGTAGTGGCCAAGAGAATTAAAGAAAGTTTCGTATTGTGGTGGTGTGATTTTGTGTTTAGGGGGACAATAAACTGCTGCAATTTTGATTGGTACATGATTTAAATTAATATTTTCTAATGCTGCTTGGAGAAAATCCTTATTTATTATAGGAAGAGGAGTAAATTGTAATGTCGATTTGATAAGAATTGCGGCACCAGCGTGGGCAGTGTTATCGGGGTGGTTTGAGGAGATTAGGGTATAGCCTGGAATTTTAAATTTTGTGTAGGAAGTAAAATGAGTTTCAGAAATAAGGGCTAAGTCAATTCTTTTATCATTTAACGTAATGATTAGTTCGTTTTTGTGGTTTTGTAATCCATTGGCGTTCCATAGTAGGATGACTAAGGATGAATTA